GCCTCCAACTTTCCATTTCGCCCGCCTCCAACTTTCCATGCTAATCAGTCTTTTCACTCCTCTCCTCACTTCACTTCCAGATTCTGCCAGAGACGCTTTTGTTCCTGAAGCAAACCCCAGCCAGGCCTTCCTCTGTGCTCGAGGGCCCCACTTGGTCGGAGTGCCCTCAGGTGACAGCTGTGGAGCAGCAGAGCCAGCTGGCCGGTCAGAGGAAGCCCCCACTGTTGGAAGGGACTTTTTTATTATTAGGAAACCAAGAATAAATCTTGCTATTCTATAGGATTTATTTTTAACAATTATAATACTATATAAGGTAATAATAGAATATTGTATTATTACATTACTAAAATATTACCAAATATTACAAAGCAACACATACCAAATATAATATTGTTGATATTACTAATTCTACTAATTACTGATTGTTAATGTTACTATGTTATATCATTATTATCTGCAGATATACATATGCATAAACAGTATCATATGTTAATATTAAGAGAGCCAGTTTGGTATGGTGATTAAGGCATGAAGAGAGGAAACTGGGAGACAAGCAGTCTGGGGTAAAGATGTTGGACGAAGGACAAGAAGCCCTGGATTCCGGTCCTCCCCCCTCCCCCCCATCAGCTACAGAAGATCCTGGAGTGCATTCAGACCTTTTAAATGGACTCAGATCACAGAGTAAGAGAGCAATCATATCTAGATAAAACAATGCTTGATTCCGAAACCCCTTCCCTCAGCCGAAAACAGTGAACGACAGTGGCCTCTTCTGAAATTTCTGAAAGGGGGGAGGGTGGCTGGCATCCCCATGGGCACAAAAGCTACTGAGCAGGCAAAGACAGCAGTGCCAGGTACCCAGCCAGGGAGCAGCTGCCCATTAGATAGCCCTCCACCTCCTCCTGCCCCGGGGCCAACCTGGAAATATCTAGAAGAGAAGCGCCTGGCAGACTCCTACCTGGGCAGTGCTTGGAGTGTCCGTGATGTCATTCATGCTTCGGCTTTGTGTATGGCCTAAAGGAGGAAAAGGTACATTTGTTTATTTATTTAAAGTATTTACAGGTGAAACTCAAAAAATTAGAATATCATGCAAAAGTTCATTTATTTCAGTAATGCAACTTAAAAGG